GACACCAACGCAAACCTTTAACATCACCGGGTAGGGGACACTTTCCCCTTCCCGGTGATATTGCTGGTTTGCGTGGGCGACCCTCGGTTGGTGAGAAAAGGGCCTACAAAGGTTTGTTTACAAAAAGCTTGTATGCCCTTTTCACATGTTGTTCTGGATATATGATATTGATATTGATTTTACAAGCTCCTTCAATATTGCGAGACTATTAACAATGTGCAAAAATCAAGCTGAGAGTTGACTTGACACAAAAATGATTCCATTGTACATCGTTTTTTTTAGAAAGAGAAAGCATAGTTTGCTATCTCTTTTTAATCTTCACCGATGGCAGACGCGAAGGGACTGCTGCAAGCCGTTATGGAAGTTTCGGTTGCATTCGGGTGTAAAGCAAAAATCATTCAACTTAATCTCACCACAGTTTGGTGAGATTTGCAGTTGGTGAGTTTTGTAAGCTTGATATTCCGAGCTGTGATATCACTATCAACCGCAGTAGTTTGCTTGTTGATATTTGTCTACGAAAATCAAGCGTGATCTTGGGCGTTGGTGAGATTTTATTTTTTGATATTTTCCCAACACTGAGTCCACGTGGATGATGATTTCAACGAGGGGCAATTCACTGCTCTCGAGTAATGAATCGAAAATATGTGAATGAAAAAATACATAAAAATTCATGTCAGATTTGTGCTTTGATCAGAAATTTGATGGTACTTTGAATGGTCATTTATGTCGGTTTGAACAGTTTGAACGACATGAATGACCATAGCAAAAACCGAGGGGGACGACTCTATCTACGATGCAGAAAATATTGTGTTTTGCTGTGTCTAGCTGCTCGCACGCTGAGTAGATAGAAAGAAGATTGATGACGATACTGAAAATATCCTGCAAAACAGATGATGCTCGATGCAAGTAGATGCGACAAATGAAAGAAGATTGTTCGAAGATTGATTCGCTAGTGTGAGCTTTGTTGAGCATCTAGAATAGAGATTTAGATGTGTCGCCCCCTCGGCAAAAACAATAAAATTTCTGACCAAAGCACACTACACGGTAACCGCAAAATACCCAATAATGACTACAAAGTAAGCATTTTCGAGGGAAACTGGGACTACCCATTAAATGAGTAAAATTTTACCCATTGTTGAGTCCACAAATCGCCGTTATACATGCACTTCCACTTCGAATTTCCAATTACACAAATCTCGGAAATCAATGCCCCATTCCACCTGAAATTGCTACTTCATGTATGCTGCAGTGCAGCAAACGTGGAGTAACAATTTGAATGTTGCGCGTGTCGTAGAAGCTGTTTTTTGTGCACTTAAAGTTTCGTAGTGGTTCCGAGAATAAGGAAGTCACAACGAATCACCTTAATCCCATTATATTTTGTTTTGCTTTGAGCACATTTTGAGACACAAGAAAATTATTCAGGATAGTACGCTTAACCAAAAGTTAATCCGATGGGAAATCATAAAAACAAGTCAAGGCCAAGGCTGTAAAGGCATTGCTTGTCTACGTATACTGCCTATAGTCCCATATCAGTCCCATATGGAAAAAGTACCCAAGTAACCAAAAGTTCTGATAAAAGGCTATTTATGGCTTAAGCACCTTGGTTGAAGGTGGTCTATAGAATTCTAAGAAGCCTCATTTTTAAGTCGTTATAAGAACTTGAAAGTTCCGGTACCATAATTGAAGAGCATTCTGAGCAGCCTTTGGCGGAACTTGAACGGAACTTTTAGAAAATAAATTAAAAAAGGTTTTTGTCCTCTACACCAGTTCTATATTTAAGTTCCCACTTTTATGAAAGTTATTTCTAAAGGCAGGTATTAATTAGAGTCGGTGTATAATGAGTCACGCCAAGAGAAAAACAGTTGAACTCGCATCACGGTTTTCGAAAGATTCCCATTCTTTTCACTTGGCAACAGAGGACTTCTACAACAACTTCAAATGACTTCAAGCGAGAGAAAAAATATTGCGGCTGTAGTAAATCATTATGTCAGTGATTTTGTCAAATTATCTTAACAAAAAATAGTAGAAATTCTCATTGCTAATCATTACCGAGCGTATCCCATGACAATTTAACGCTCACTGCGTGTTTATGCTCATTTCTTCGATTATATTTTATATTTTATTGCAATACCTTTCGTGGACCTTTCATAGCATCGTAATGTTTATTTACTTTGCACGATAGGTAGCCGGGTTTGACAGTTCAATAGGTAGACTTGGCTTCACTCTTGGCGTGACTCATTATACACCGACTCTAGTATTAATGTGTGTTGATTTATCAGCATTAGTAGTAGTAGTAATGGAGCTGTTGGAAGAATCAAACCCAGTCCTTCTGTGTGAGAGTCTCAGAACGAACCACTACGTCATCTGAAATATATTAAAGTGAGCTGTTGTCCCGCCTATTGTTGGAGTTTTCTGAACCAGCTGACTGACTTGAATACGAAACACAACACCTTGATGAATTTAAATTGGTGTTTGCGTGGCGCAGTGGTTAGCAATCGTAGATCACATGCCGAATACACGGGTTCGAATCCAGGAAATTACTTTTGATTTATTTTTTTTATTTTTGGATAGAATGTTGCATGAATATAAGAATTATGATTTATTCGGGCCACTGATTATTTCATATTTACGTACATTAAATTTTGTTACAAAAAAAGATTTGTGCGGATTGCTTCATGTGGCTTGAAAGTTCGATCGGAACTTTATTTGAACTTTATGGAACTTGAAAGTTCTGTCGGAACTTTATTTGAACTTTATGGAACTTGGAAGTGTTGAATGCGGAACTTTTGGTTACTTGGGTAGGCATGGAGGAAATGGCAGTTGAAGTTACGAAGAGCAATTTCTATGTAAATATATGAAAAATCATAGTAAATTAGTTGATAATTTTATAAAGTTGAAATCAGTTGCAATGAAGCTTGTATGTTTTGTTATATCAGCGACAAATATGGCGATCCAAAAAGCAGAACTGCAACTTGACCTCTGGACAAACGAATTTCAGAATGGGACTGCTATGCGATTATTTTCCTTAATGGGACAAACTGACTTGATGTTGTTTTCTCATTTTTCATTATCAAAGTCCGTAATTTTATCACGTAATATGAAAGTTGGCGCCAATTAATAGTGGATAACGTTGTTAGCTTAAAATTGTCTAAAATCCATGTGGGACTGATATGCAATTATAGGCAGTATATTTGAATCATTATTCAATCATAAAAGTGCTGCAGCAAGCAATAAGAAAAATCCTCCCAAGCAAGACCCTTCCTAAATTCTCGTTTCATTAGTTCTCTGAGTTAATCAGGCTGTTAAGAACACAATAAGGGACAATAACTATAAGTATTCAGAAAAAAATCATCATCTTCTCTTAAAGCTGGGTTTAGACAAGGCAAGCCAATTGATCAACTCAGTTGAATTCAACTGACTTGAACGTGAATTGAACGTGTAAACCATGCCAATCAACTTGATCAACTCACTCGAATTGAACCAGGCTCAACTCTTCAAGACAATTGAATTCAACTGAGTTGATCAATGGATTGCCTTGTCAAAACCTAGCTCAACTCTGCCATTTTTTGCATTTATTCATGGGCGCTCCAGTACGCTTAAGTGATGATTTTTGTTGGACAAAACTGGATCGTGCAGACGCAATAATCTACTCGAAGTTTAAATGTTGTCAGACGCCATTAGGTGTAACATCTATTAAGAGACCTACATGCCCATTTAAATTTTGCAACAACTAACAACGTCTAGCGTCTTTATTTTTGTCTCAGTTCAACTCAGGAATGTCACAACACCCAGTGGGAGCTGAATTTATAAATCATCGAAATACCCTTTTATTTGAGTAGCTTTTGCTCAAATTTCAAAAATGCAACATCAAGCATTGAACAACCACATGTTCGCAACTCTACACTGCACGCAGCCGATTAAAATTCAGCTTCCATTATCTACGTGATAAGTCAGGTAAATAGGACCTGATTTCCACGTACTGCTTACGTGAAATCGGGGATGAAAACTACTGGACATCTGGTAACTTTTACGTGACATTCCGTTTTGTCTAAATTGCTTTTCATGTAATTTGTAAGTGAATTTTTAATCAGAATAATAGGAAGTATATATAGAAGCAGTCAATATTATGCAATTTTATCGGGAAGATATAAATTTCAAGTGTTTAAATTAATACTTATATCTACTCATAAAATTGTAAAATATTGACTAATTGATTATTATAATATAAAAACGTGTATGAGTTTTTTTTTATTTCTTGCAAAATATTAACACTTTTGCAGACTCAAACTGCTGATGTCACCGTCTGAAATTATAAAACTTGAAAAAGGCTACATATAATCATAAATAAATTAACGTAAAAGAATCTAATTACCGTCCAACATTTGCAGCAACGCTGAGGAATTTTGAATCTTTGAGGAGTTTTTCCACCACGCTCGGTGACGCCATATTGATTTTTTTTTACGGAAAGATCGAAGTACCAAACACACAAATACACTAAATCTGTTTGCGTGAATATACGATCAATTTCACCAACATTTTTAGTGGAAATGGCGTGTAATGCAGTTCAAAGTTACTAACGTCACGTAACATTTGAGATTTTCTTAATACAGATCAGGTACGTAATATTTCACGTAAATCGGACGTGAAGATTTTTTAGAGTGTATTTAAAACTTGAAATGAAAAACCATTCTCAAACTACACCGAGTAATTAAGTTGTTTGAAACTAGCGAAGTCAGTCATACTTATTAATCAGTTTATGTTATAAAGAAGCATTTCCCTGAGATTCCCTGATTTTCCAGGTAGTCGACACCCTGATTATGGGTACGAAAAAGTGGACTATCATTTGAAAAAGGCACTAGTTATAATTAATTTACAAAAAATCAGGACACAAATACACACCCGTTCGCTTTTGAAAGAACGAAAACACTTGAAGTTTTGCAACATTTTACACAACTTTTTATTATTACAAATTTCCAACCTTATTTAATTATAAACTATCAATTAGTTTGATTCGATTTGGAGCTCACATTAGTTATACTTATTTCGCAAAGATTTAACATGTACTAGCTACATAAATTGTTACCAGTCCCTACAACAACGATACATTGTACGAAAGTATACTCTTCTGTTAGGCTGTTAGTTTTGATTCATCCATTCACACGGTCGCTTTTGCCATATGTGTATCATTCATGCGCTCTTCCTGACGTTGTACTTCACCGTTTAAGTTCTGCGTACGCAACAGTATAGCCAATAGGTACATTTAATTTGTCTAGCGTAAAGCGTCTACTGGAAAATAAGGCTTCCTCGGAAGGAATTGGAAAACATAGGCTTACAAATATTGCTCAGATAAACATTGCTTCGCAATTCGAGTACTACATTTCGGACACCATGAAAGCTGCTATTGAAACCGTTTATTGGTAGGTGGAATTTTGTGTGCGGAAAGAATTTTGTAATGCAATACCTAGGTACTCCTTTTAGTTTTTCGCCAATAGTTTGAATCTCACCAGACGGTATAAACTGACGCTAAAATCTTATCAATACTGAATTTTCTAATCGACTAATAGTAATAATTCCATTCCAAATAGTGATTGCAAATGTTCATTCATAAAGCTAAATAATTTGTGCGCACTCAAAGTACCTTTGGGAAGAATGTGACGGACCCGCTATCCACCTAAAACACAACACTGATTCATTATGGTAACGGTTGTACGTTAAGTAAAAAAAGAGTCGATACGTTTCTTAAAGAATATAAACTTTTTTCTCTGTAACATCTAGAATCTTAGACCAAGAAATCATGATTGCATTTCGTACTTTTAAAGCAAGTCGATACCGACACTAACACACACTCATATTCACACACACATACACACACTCTTTCACACAATATCCTCGGGACGGTTTCGGTACGGGCTCATGCCACCGGCAGTGGCCACTCCGTTCTGCATGTGGTGCAGGCGATTGTTCGGTTTGTACTCATTGGCAACGGTGTCCTCCCTGCTGTCATCCATCACCGTCAGGTTGTCATCGTCCTTGGTGGCCATCGTCGTCATCATGGTAATGCGCGTGGTGGTACTGAATTCGGACGAGGCTGTCGGAGTCAAGCCCGGAGATGCAGTTAGATGGGACGCCTGCACTGGATACACCATGCCATCCCCGAGGCTACAAGTAAAGTGGTAGAAAATAGGATTGCAGGACTTAATTTTTTGGTTCTATTCGCATCGCATCACTAGGACTGGGAGCAAACAAGAGCGAGAGAAAAAGCGAAATTTAAGTGATGAAAAGGTTTGGCGGTTAGGTTATATGTTTATATTTATACAGGATATCAATAATACAGGTGTGGTTAGGGATGTTGCAGTTCCCGACTTTGGGTTTTTTTACAACAGGATCATGGGGGGGATCAAAATCTTAATTTCCTCGGGGAAGCGCGCGGGTGCAGTGCTGCAGGGCCAATCCAAATTGCATCCATTGTTAGAGCTCTTACAGTAGTAGTAGTAGGTCATCACAAGGTAGCTAGATGTTAGTATTTGTTTGTACACCGATTGATGGAAGAAATATGCAATCATGATTTCTTTCTTGTTTCTATGGTTCTAGTGTTTTGATTTGCGGTTTATACAACTTTTAGGCTTCTGAAATGTTTGTTACGGTGGCAATGAAAGCATGTGGAAAAAGTCATCCTTGAATTTTCACGATGCAAAAACAGCCAAATTTGAATTCATACCACAACGTTGTGAGCTTTCAATAAGAAATAAAAAGTAAAGAACATTGTACATTGTATCTTTTGGCCAGCTGCATCAGCGAGTAGTATAGGGTGTCCCAGAAAGTATAAGCACACTTTCAACTCACCGCCATTTCTACCCCGATGAAGTTTATCAGCTGTTCAGTGTGTTTTTGATTATTTATAGTTTGTGTGCGCAAAGTGCTTTTTTTACAAAATCATCAAAATGCGAGGCATTTCCCCGAAAAAGGGCAAACAGGTCGTGCACAAATGAAACACTAATCCCAGCCTATCAGTAAGGAAATTGGCGAAAATGTAGGAAGTAAGTGTCGAAGCAGTTCAAACCGCCATCTGGAAGTTCGGTGAAAAAGTTACCTTCGAGGATACAACGAAATCTGGCTGTGAACCGGGACCGATGGACCGAAAAGTGGATTAGAAGATCACCAAGCAATCCTCAATAAGAAACGTGCCTCTTTTCGAGATTTGGCCAAAAAGCTGAGAACATCGAAGAGTGGCGAAGAGTGACGCGTGTCAAGACAAGAAACGGGCTGTAAACGTTTAAGAAACGGAAGAAGCTGAAACTTAAAGAGCCTGAATTTATAGAGAGCCGACATGTCAAAATTGGAACAATCGATTATCTGTCAAAGTCATAGGAAAAGTCATTCCAATTGAGCAGAAGACCTGTCAAATGGATAAGATGTCGTCTTTTTATAAATTAAGGCTCTTTATTGAAACTGAGTCAGAAACAAGCCGCATCCGTCAAACCGAGTGTTCAGAAGGTATAGGATAGCCTTCTGTGTGGAAAATTGGTGTGTGTTATCATGGACGATGAAACATACGACAAATTTGACTACAAAACGCTTCCGAGAGACCAATACTACACAGTCCGTGATGGTCAGGAAGTTGACGATGCCGATAAGTCAATTTTAACCGAAAAAGTAAGAAGGCCATGGTTCTGCAATCGATATGTGAGTGTGGCAAGTTTTCAAAGCCATGTGTGCACACTCAGCAACGTTTTCCTTGTTCGGTAATTTTTTACCGAAAAAAAATCGGTAAATGAAGAATGTTACAGATTTTTCGGTAAACAAAAATAATTTTACCAACGTTCGGTAATGTTTTACCGAAGTGACGGTAATCTGTCTTTTATATTGACGAACTTCGTTAAAAAGAGTACAGTAAGAACTGTAAAACAAAGCAAACGCCGAATTCGGTTAAAAAATACCGAACAAACTGCAAATTACAGAAACGTTTACCGAACTTCTGTAAATAATTCCAGACTGTCAATCGAAATACGGTCATATTTGTTTCAAGTTTTAAAACAAGTGATCGGAAAATCCAGTGAAAACAATGTAAGTATGTTCGCAAATACAGATGAATAATGCATCTATTAAATATTCTTAATGAGATTGATAATTACATGTATTTCTTTCATTTTTATGATTGCTCTTCAGACACAGCCAGGAATTCTGTGCTTTCGGGATCAGGTTCCAGTCAATGTTTCTGGACTGGCATCCCCATGGTAGCCACCTGCGAAAAGAATACTCCAGCGAGCAATATATGTTATTTTAAAATATATTGTTACCTAGATGTTTACTTTTGAATAAAATCTCTTTAATAATAATGCAAAAATAGCTTTAAATTTTAATTCACCGGAAAAAAAAAAACAAAAAATACACAAGATCAACAAATTTTCATTTACGGGACAGTTCAGTAAAAAATTACTGAATAGTTCGGTAAATAATTACCGAATTGTTCGGTAATTTTGACAGCTCATCAAAAAATCTGTTTACCGATCGTTCGGTAATCGTTTAGATTACCGAACGAAAAGTTTTGCAATTTGCAAACGTTGTGCCTACATAGTGACTATGGCTTCAGTGCGTCCTCGTGAGAAAACATTCAAGGTTGACTTCTCAAATTTTCCCAAACGTCCGTCGTTTGAAGAAATCCACACGTTTGTGCATAAGACTCTTGGACTGACCGTGGAACATGTCGTTCGCTTGCAAATTAATCATGCACAAAACTGTGCGCATGTGAGGTGCCGTGATCTACAATGTGCTCAGGATGTTGTTCTGCAGCATCATGAAAAACATGAACTCCAGGTCAACAAGACGAAGGTGAAGGTGCGCCTGTTCATGGATGACGGTGGCACCGAAGTCAAGATCCATGATTTTTCCGAAAACGTTCGGAATGAGGAAATTGTTGTTTTTCTTAAGAAGTTTGGAGACGTGAAGGCAATCAAAGATGTGGTCTGGGGTGAAAACTTTGCACAATAATTTCCAACAGGTGTGCGTATCGTGAAAATGGCACCAAAGCGCCACATCAAATCCTTCGTAACCGTTCAAGGGAAGCAAACGTTGGTTACCTATCGTAACCAACTCCAAACGTGCCGTCATTGCGCAAATCCGTCTCACCAAGGCTCTACTTGTGTGGAGAACAAAAAGTTTTTGGGACAAAAGGTTGATCTCAACAATGGATTGATCCAAGCAGCACAGTCCAACAATACCCAAGCAAACGACAATCCATCAACTAGTTTTGCCCATGTAGTAGGAAGCAACAAGAGTTCCGCACCAACACTGTTGCCCAACTTCGTATTTCTGCGCCCGGTGCGACCACCATCGATTACAACTGCTCCAGACACCAACAATGCCTCTACACATACACCACAAGCAACGAACAACTGGCAGCGGAAGGACGTGGGGATGAAAGCGGAATTAACCCACAGGAGAAGTCTGCACGAAGTACTCCACATGAGCGGGCCCCTCAGCCTGAAAAACAACAACATGTTGTAACGACAACGAGTTCAGTGAGTACCTTCAAAGTCCCATCCTCGGTCGAGATGGGAAATGACAGGTGGGCAGGAACTCACGGTCTCCCAGTGTTGGTGAGTTCTTTGCCGTTAATGTTCACGAAAAGTTCACTATTTTGTCATACAGAAATTTAAAACAAAAATTATTATTTGCGGATTTGGACAGTTTTTGACCTGTTTCATACGACCGGAAGGTGTATGCTGGTCACAAATGCCGTGCCAAACTGATTTCCTACGCAATTAATCAATCTTTGATGTGAATTTCGCTAATAAACACGAGGAACATTTCTTATAGCAAACTTGCCATAACAAAATGGGCATGGTTCATTTTAGTAAACAAACTTACACTTCTTCCGACTGTGTCACCTCTCTTACTCGCCTAGATCCTCGGTCCCATCCAAAGTATCCAATCCAAGTAATATCTCGATGTTGATTTCTGACAGTAAAAGTTGTGATTCGTTTCTTGACAATGGATAATTTCAAACGCACAAACGCACAAAAAACAAAAACTAAACAATCAAAATGAACCCCCGAAACCACCACTAGCCAAAATAATCCTACAGCTAATCCCGAGTAGACCGCGGGTAATCGGTCACCCACTCTCTAACAAAATGAATATAACACCCTAAGTGAAATGAATCACCTCTATTCCCGTTTTCGTACGAACCGGATTCGTTCGAAACGAAAGCAATTTCCCATTCCCGTTTTCGTTCGAAGCAATTCTAACTTTCGAACATCGTTCGTTCGAATGATGTTGCTATTCCCATTTTCGTACGAATGCGTTTTTTTGTCCGCTTTCCAAACGTCACTCCAAACTCGCGAATCGCGAGACAGCCAGGGGATTAAAACTTTGAAATTTTTTGTAATCCCTAATAAAAATGTTAATTTGCTTAACGACGTGTTCGGGGTTGATTGATTGATTTATCTTTAATAAGGAGGTTTTCAGCCTGAGGCTGGTTCGCCTCCAACGTGTTCGGGGTATCATCCAAACTATTTTTGGAATGGTTCAATCATTTGGGTTATCGTTCGTGTATGGTATTTTTTATAAGGGGGCCTGAGTGTACAAAAAAATCTACAACCAAATTTTTGGTGTTTGATTGTAATAATTTTACTTAAAATTACGTGAAGTTAAAGATCTCATATGGAAATTGATTGAAAAATCATGCAATAAAAATATAATTTAGATTAAAAAAGGATCGAAACAACTAGAAAATTTTGGACAAAAGCATTTCTGTAACAGCTTACATAACAAATATTTATGCATTTAATCATGACTCAAAAACATTGCCATAGCCATATACAGTCAAGATTCCTATAGTGCGGATTCGTTCTTGCCGGATTCCTATAGTACTGATGCCACTGGATTCCTATAGTACGGTCGATCCGGCATTAACGAATACACGTAGCATATGGAATTAGAGCTAATTGGGACCAAACACTGATTGTACGGCAATTTGAAGAGATAACTTTCTGATGTCTTTTGAGAAGTTGTTAAGTAGAATGTTGGCCACCTTTTGGGACGATTCAGTTTCCGGTAGGACTCAAGTCTGACCCTGTGGAAGATCCGGAATATCCGTAAAAGTGGCCAATTCATGAAACTGATCCTAGAGCTCCGTGGATTTTTCGAAACCACTCATA